TGAGTCGCGTCAGCTTGTCCTTGCCTCGAGGATTAAGATGCAAAAGACCTTAAAGAGTTGAGTCAGTGAAACGTTTTGGATAGCTTATGGTAGTTTTATTTTTCTTTTAATTTTTTCTTTGTGTTTTATCTTTATGAATGAATTAAGGTTCTCTGTCAACAAAGTTGGTAGTATATTATATGAGATTCGAGGTTTTCATCATGGTGAACATTATAATCGTGTTTTTTGGGGGTGTGACATACTGTAGTTTGGTATGTATGTATTAAAATATCTTATGTCACATCCCAGAAGACTATGATCCTAAAATTAACAATATTTACACATTTAAATTTTGGCTGCCTGAGGGTGGGGGGTTGCATAAGGCTCCAGGTCTTCATGCAGGTGAGCCCCTTCATTGTACCTTAGTATCACAGATGGCATATTCATAATTCTTTTAATTTTATAACCATAATAAGTGACAATGAAAATTTAATTTCTAAGTGTTTCAAAACAGGAAATGTTGTCAAAACCTGCAGTTTCCCTTTGTTAAAAACCTTAATATTCTGAAACCATTGTTTGTAATTTTCAACAACAAAACAGGATTTTAGCAAATTAGGGTATTGAGTATATTTCTTTGGATTTTTTGAAAATTCATTCACATTTGTATTACAGTAATTCAACTGGATTGCTGCCCTAATAAATGTGCTAAATCCCCTTAGGAATTGGAGTGTATGGGTTCTGGGTTGTAGGTCTGAGAAAACAATCCGTGAACTTGTGGCATTAAACCCAGTCACTACTGTGAGAACCTCAGAACCCTTTAAGAAGAGATTTTCTCTATAGCAGCTACATTTCTCAAGTGTACATTGTATTATTCACTTTCTCTTGAACTTTGACATTCTGTGGGACACTTTTCACAGAATGAGAATCAGAATCTTAAAGCAAGACTGACTGAAGAGTACACGAAAACAGTGGTGACATATTTGTAATCTCAATTGGAAAAGGTTCAATTTTCCTCTTAATGATTTCCTAACATTCCTGGTTTGTTCATCTGAAATTTATTATATGTCCTATGTTCCTTTGCAGACAACTTTTAGTGTTACTAAATTCTAAATTGTGTTGGATCACTATTGCATTCACAAAATGTGTCATAATAATTTACTGTGGTCTTGTTATGAATATGAAATGCGGAAGAAGGGGAAAAGGGAGGTGGGAAAGAAGTTAAAGTATCAATTCAGAATTTAATGTGGTAAACGCTTTAAAATGAAACAGCTATGTAATGAAAAATGGTAGTATGAAGGTAGCTGAAAGTCATTATGACAAGGGGAGTACTGTTCCTTTAACAACACTAAGTTCGGCTAATACTTTTAGCAGTAAGATCTTGCTTTCCATGAATGTCCACTCAAATTTTCACTGGATTCAGTTGTATTATAATGTAAATAAGGAGAGTTACATTTACTGGTAGCATATACTTCGCCATCTTCCCGACCTTAGAAAATTCTTTAAACCGGGATAAAACGTGACAGCTTGGCCGAATCTAGGAAAAATTTTCGTCCGAATTACCTTTGACAAAATCCGGGTCGAGTGAAAATTCGGGACTGTCCTGGAAAAATCTGAATAGAGTAACGGCTACTTCGCAAACAAAAACGTTCCCACAACAAAACTGAGACCAGTGTTTTTGTGTTGTCTGTGTAGGTATTCCCTCGGAAATAAGTGAGATCGGTGTTTTCTGTGTTCTCCTTGGCTCTATTTATGGTTACCAATAAATCACTGTTTAGACAAAATTCTGAAAGTCATAATTTTAATACCAGGAATAATTCTAATTGTATTCAAGTAACTGCTCACTTGACGATGTTTCATAAAAGGACCCCTACGAAGGCGTTAACATATATAACCATCTCCCAGCTGATATTAAGAACTTGGCATGTGATATTAAAAGCTTAAAAAAAGCACTAAATTATTTGCAAGGGCATTCTTTTTATACTGTGAATGAATTTTTACGCATAAAACTAGACAATTATTTTTTATGGTAACCGTAACATCATTGTATCAGTTCTTACAGTGTTCTACTATTTATATTCTTTTTCGACAAAATCTTTTAATGATTGCATGTCTTATTATCATTATTATTGTACTGTCCTGTATTCGTTTTTTTTTCAGTATCCAATGGTTGTAGCAGTATGGATTAACAGAAATTAATTAAATAAATAAATAAATAAAAATAAAACGTCCACGGCAATAATTAAGACCGGTGTTTTTGCGTGACCGTGTAGAAAAGTTATATGCAGGACACCAGGACGACCCGGACCGACACGAAGATAAGCATAAATCTGCCACCGCCGCCATCCACGGGACATGAAACCAGGTTTACATCGGGCCCTGTGATTGCTAAATAAAATGCGATTCGATAAGATACCACCGGTACTCTTGTCACTGGTTCGACACTATGTAGTGTGGCAAACACGTGGCACTGCCACGTAGCAAATACGTGGCACTGTCACGTGGCACTGACACGTAGCAGTGGGCTGCAAAAAAAACGACTGCGCCTGTTGTTGCAATATATATAATTACGTAACACTTCTTGGACAGGTCAGTTGTGTGAGAGCCACTGAGGTGTTTGTTTCGCAGTGCGCGCATAATAAAGTAAGATTTCACGTAGCATATTAATTCAGTGAGACTGTTGTGGGAGACGTGATTGACCAGACTTGAATATTTTTAATCGTCTATCGTGCTTAAAAACATTCGTAGTAATGGCGCCAGAACCTGAAACCATGCTGCCAACACCAAAGATAACGTTGTTTCCAGCACATAGTATACAGCTGGGTTGGAGAAAGAACGATTGTGTAGGTCGTGGAATGACTAACGTTGGTAATACCTGCTACCTCAATTCAGCCTTACAGGCGTTATTCCATGTACCGGCATTTGTCCACTGGCTCTGCAGTGATAATAGCCATCGCAGCAATTGTGCAGGTGTTAATGGGTCAGTGAAAGACGTGTGCATCATCTGTGCAATGAACAAGACTTTCAAAGCGTCAAGGAAGAATAGAGACACTAGCATAAAACCGCTCTTGATATACAAGGAATTACAGTTCATCAGCGAGGACCTTGAACCTGGTCAGCAAGAGGACGCCCATGAGTTCATGTGTTATCTTCTGGGAAGTATGAAAGAATCCTACCTAACAAGCTACAAAGACTGCATGTTGGACAGTTACAGCATGGAAACTACGCCTCTGAATCAAATATTTGGAGGTTATATCAGAACAGAAGTGACATGTTCGCAGTGTGGTAGTGTGTCCACAACATTTCAGTACTGTCAAGACTTTATTCTGGATATTCACGATACGTCCACATTGGATGGTGCTTTGGCAGCCTACTTCAGCGAAGAATGCCTAGATGGGGATGATGCTTATTGGTGTGAACAGTGCCACAGGAAAGTTTCAGCTACAAAGAAATTTTCTTTGGAGAAACCACCTCATGTTCTGTGCATACAAATCAAGAGGTTCGACATCATGGGAGAAAAGATTGACAAACACATTTCGTTCTCCCTGAGACTGGATCTTACAAGGTTCCTTTGTCCTCGGTCAGCTCACCATGGCCCAGCACCACTTAAATATCGTCTTGTTTCCATGGTCATACATGATGGCCCATCAATCCACTGTGGCCACTACACTGCAGTGGCACAGACTTCTATGGGTCGGTACTATAAATTTGATGACAGTTTGGTGCAGGCTATCTCATCGTCAGTGGTCCTTGGCTCTGATGCATATATTATGATGTATGAGCGTGAACCTGCAGGTCCATCAGTGCCACAGAAGAGTGCTGCATCCACCACTGCAACTTGTGCTGTCAATGGACAGAAAACCAGCTCATCTCCACAGGCACCTGTCAGCCACAAGAATGTATCAGTGGTGAATCATAGGCAAGGCTGTGGTTCTGTTTCTCCTATATACACATGTGCTTCATCTCCCTCATCAGCAAAAGGTGAGTTGACTTCTAGTGACTCAATGGCAGCACAACATTGCTCATGGGATAAGCCTAGCCTTGGAGAAGTGAGCCCTCCCTTCCGGCAATCCTCATCAAAATGTAAGAGACCATTTGCTCATAAGTCTTGTTGCCCAGACAGTGATGTGACTGCCAATGACATGAAATTGTTAGAAGATGACTCAAAACTCTTGAAATCTCATACTGGCAATGCGACAGATGTTGAAAGTGGNTTTTCCGATTTCTATTGGTTCGCTTACATTATTGTCTGAAAGATTAGTTTCTCTTGCAATTTCTTTTACTTGATAAACTTTACTTGCACTCTTTATCCTAAAAAATGATTCTGAACACCCATGACAACTGGAATGTGTCTGCCTTTAATGCTCTCTGCAATGAGTCGCGTCAGCTTGTCCTTGCCTCGAGGATTAAGATGCAAAAGACCTTAAAGAGTTGAGTCAGTGAAACGTTTTGGATAGCTTATGGTAGTTTTATTTTTCTTTTAATTTTTTCTTTGTGTTTTATCTTTATGAATGAATTAAGGTTCTCTGTCAACAAAGTTGGTAGTATATTATATGAGATTCGAGGTTTTCATCATGGTGAACATTATAATCGTGTTTTTTGGGGGTGTGACATACTGTAGTTTGGTATGTATGTATTAAAATATCTTATGTCACATCCCAGAAGACTATGATCCTAAAATTAACAATATTTACACATTTAAATTTTGGCTGCCTGAGGGTGGGGGGTTGCATAAGGCTCCAGGTCTTCATGCAGGTGAGCCCCTTCATTGTACCTTAGTATCACAGATGGCATATTCATAATTCTTTTAATTTTATAACCATAAGAAGTGACAATGAAAATTTAATTTCTAAGTGTTTCAAAACAGGAAATGTTGTCAAAACCTGCAGTTTCCCTTTGTTAAAAACCTTAATATTCTGAAACCATTGTTTGTAATTTTCAACAACAAAACAGGATTTTAGCAAATTAGGGTATTGAGTATATTTCTTTGGATTTTTTGAAAATTCATTCACATTTGTATTACAGTAATTCAACTGGATTGCTGCCCTAATAAATGTGCTAAATCCCCTTAGGAATTGGAGTGTATGGGTTCTGGGTTGTAGGTCTGAGAAAACAATCCGTGAACTTGTGGCATTAAACCCAGTCACTACTGTGAGAACCTCAGAACCCTTTAAGAAGAGATTTTCTCTATAGCAGCTACATTTCTCAAGTGTACATTGTATTATTCACTTTCTCTTGAACTTTGACATTCTGTGGGACACTTTTCACAGAATGAGAATCAGAATCTTAAAGCAAGACTGACTGAAGAGTACACGAAAACAGTGGTGACATATTTGTAATCTCAATTGGAAAAGGTTCAATTTTCCTCTTAATGATTTCCTAACATTCCTGGTTTGTTCATCTGAAATTTATTATATGTCCTATGTTCCTTTGCAGACAACTTTTAGTGTTACTAAATTCTAAATTGTGTTGGATCACTATTGCATTCACAAAATGTGTCATAATAATTTACTGTGGTCTTGTTATGAATATGAAATGCGGAAGAAGGGGAAAAGGGAGGTGGGAAAGAAGTTAAAGTATCAATTCAGAATTTAATGTGGTAAACGCTTTAAAATGAAACAGCTATGTAATGAAAAATGGTAGTATGAAGGTAGCTGAAAGTCATTATGACAAGGGGAGTACTGTTCCTTTAACAACACTAAGTTCGGCTAATACTTTTAGCAGTAAGATCTTGCTTTCCATGAATGTCCACTCAAATTTTCACTGGATTCAGTTGTATTATAATGTAAATAAGGAGAGTTACATTTACTGGTAGCATATACTTCGCCATCTTCCCGACCTTAGAAAATTCTTTAAACCGGGATAAAACGTGACAGCTTGGCCGAATCTAGGAAAAATTTTCGTCCGAATTACCTTTGACAAAATCCGGGTCGAGTGAAAATTCGGGACTGTCCTGGAAAAATCTGAATAGAGTAACGGCTACTTCGCAAACAAAAACGTTCCCACAACAAAACTGAGACCAGTGTTTTTGTGTTGTCTGTGTAGGTATTCCCTCGGAAATAAGTGAGATCGGTGTTTTCTGTGTTCTCCTTGGCTCTATTTATGGTTACCAATAAATCACTGTTTAGACAAAATTCTGAAAGTCATAATTTTAATACCAGGAATAATTCTAATTGTATTCAAGTAACTGCTCACTTGACGATGTTTCATAAAAGGACCCCTACGAAGGCGTTAACATATATAACCATCTCCCAGCTGATATTAAGGACTTGGCATGTGATATTAAAAGCTTAAAAAAAGCACTAAATTATTTGCAAGGGCATTCTTTTTATACTGTGAATGAATTTTTACGCATAAAACTAGACAATTATTTTTTATGGTAACCGTAACATCATTGTATCAGTTCTTACAGTGTTCTACTATTTATATTCTTTTTCGACAAAATCTTTTAATGATTGCATGTCTTATTATCATTATTATTGTACTGTCCTGTATTCGTTTTTTTTTCAGTATCCAATGGTTGTAGCAGTATGGATTAACAGAAATTAATTAAATAAATAAATAAATAAAAATAAAACGTCCACGGCAATAATTAAGACCGGTGTTTTTGCGTGACCGTGTAGAAAAGTTATATGCAGGACACCAGGACGACCCGGACCGACACGAAGATAAGCATAAATCTGCCACCGCCGCCATCCACGGGACATGAAACCAGGTTTACATCGGGCCCTGTGATTGCTAAATAAAATGCGATTCGATAAGATACCACCGGTACTCTGTCACTGGTTCGACACTATGTAGTGTGGCAAACACGTGGCACTGCCACGTAGCAAATACGTGGCACTGTCACGTGGCACTGACACGTAGCAGTGGGCTGCAAAAAAAACGACTGCGCCTGTTGTTGCAATATATATAATTACGTAACACTTCTTGGACAGGTCAGTTGTGTGAGAGCCACTGAGGTGTTTGTTTCGCAGTGCGCGCATAATAAAGTAAGATTTCACGTAGCATATTAATTCAGTGAGACTGTTGTGGGAGACGTGATTGACCAGACTTGAATATTTTTAATCGTCTATCGTGCTTAAAAACATTCGTAGTAATGGCGCCAGAACCTGAAACCATGCTGCCAACACCAAAGATAACGTTGTTTCCAGCACATAGTATACAGCTGGGTTGGAGAAAGAACGATTGTGTAGGTCGTGGAATGACTAACGTTGGTAATACCTGCTACCTCAATTCAGCCTTACAGGCGTTATTCCATGTACCGGCATTTGTCCACTGGCTCTGCAGTGATAATAGCCATCGCAGCAATTGTGCAGGTGTTAATGGGTCAGTGAAAGACGTGTGCATCATCTGTGCAATGAACAAGACTTTCAAAGCGTCAAGGAAGAATAGAGACACTAGCATAAAACCGCTCTTGATATACAAGGAATTACAGTTCATCAGCGAGGACCTTGAACCTGGTCAGCAAGAGGACGCCCATGAGTTCATGTGTTATCTTCTGGGAAGTATGAAAGAATCCTACCTAACAAGCTACAAAGACTGCATGTTGGACAGTTACAGCATGGAAACTACGCCTCTGAATCAAATATTTGGAGGTTATATCAGAACAGAAGTGACATGTTCGCAGTGTGGTAGTGTGTCCACAACATTTCAGTACTGTCAAGACTTTATTCTGGATATTCACGATACGTCCACATTGGATGGTGCTTTGGCAGCCTACTTCAGCGAAGAATGCCTAGATGGGGATGATGCTTATTGGTGTGAACAGTGCCACAGGAAAGTTTCAGCTACAAAGAAATTTTCTTTGGAGAAACCACCTCATGTTCTGTGCATACAAATCAAGAGGTTCGACATCATGGGAGAAAAGATTGACAAACACATTTCGTTCTCCCTGAGACTGGATCTTACAAGGTTCCTTTGTCCTCGGTCAGCTCACCATGGCCCAGCACCACTTAAATATCGTCTTGTTTCCATGGTCATACATGATGGCCCATCAATCCACTGTGGCCACTACACTGCAGTGGCACAGACTTCTATGGGTCGGTACTATAAATTTGATGACAGTTTGGTGCAGGCTATCTCATCGTCAGTGGTCCTTGGCTCTGATGCATATATTATGATGTATGAGCGTGAACCTGCAGGTCCATCAGTGCCACAGAAGAGTGCTGCATCCACCACTGCAACTTGTGCTGTCAATGGACAGAAAACCAGCTCATCTCCACAGGCACCTGTCAGCCACAAGAATGTATCAGTGGTGAATCATAGGCAAGGCTGTGGTTCTGTTTCTCCTATATACACATGTGCTTCATCTCCCTCATCAGCAAAAGGTGAGTTGACTTCTAGTGACTCAATGGCAGCACAACATTGCTCATGGGATAAGCCTAGCCTTGGAGAAGTGAGCCCTCCCTTCCGGCAATCCTCATCAAAATGTAAGAGACCATTTGCTCATAAGTCTTGTTGCCCAGACAGTGATGTGACTGCCAATGACATGAAATTGTTAGAAGATGACTCAAAACTCTTGAAATCTCATACTGGCAATGCGACAGATGTTGAAAGTGGGGGTGACAACATGACAAGGGGAGGTGAACATGTTAAGAAAATAAAGGACAGCAATGAAGGGGGAGAGACACTCTTATCACAACTAGAAAGCAAGGATATCACAGTGTCTGATGTAGAAAAACTTAATTCAGTACAGGACAGCTCGATAGAAGAGAAAACACGAAAAAAAAACATAGAAGGAACAAGAAAAAGAAAAAGAAGTCTACAGCAGATATCAGTGAAGTATCTGAGGCTGTGGAAGGAAGCTGTGAATGCTGCATCCACCACTGCAACTTGTGCTGCCAATGGACAGAAAACCAGCTCATCTCCACAGGCACCTGTCAGCCACAAGAATGTATCAGTGGTGAATCA